GGTTTTTACACGAGAGAGCGGTTATTGTGTCGCAAACCGCCGGTTTTCACCGGTTTTCCTGCTTGAAAATGAACCGGTGTGACCCGTATTTTGGACCGGTTTTATATATGAATTTTCGTGTACGGGTCCGATATAAACACAACAGAAATGAATAAACGACTTGATCACGTAACTCTGCCATCGCAGTGCAATTCCGTTACGTTTGTATTTTATTTCTTTTATAATTCTCGAATGAGGACACATCCAGAACTTGGTAACGACTCATATTAAAGAGAAAAGTAGTTTGTATTTTTGCCATAGTTTCTAAACAAAAGAATGTGTAGAGTGTGCGAAAGTCTTGAAATATTCAACGCACTTTTCTCTTTAATTTGCAACGTTGCCGAGCGCTGAACATGCCCTCATTCGAGAATTATAGAAAGAAACAAAATGTATAAAAACGCAACTGAATTACACTGCAATGGCACAGTTACGTGAACAAGTCGTAAATACATCTGACAAATCCCTTTTTACTATTAGCAGTAATAATTACATGACTGCTGCGGCTGCTAATGCAGTTGTTACTATTCTTAAATTATTACCCTACTTCAAAAATGTGTCTTTTACTATTGATTTAAACACCTAAAAATAAAATATGATCGGTACGCAAAAGACTACTTAAGTGCAAAAGATATTTAATTCTTTAGTCATCTAAGCGACTTTTTCAAAGTGCACATAAGTTGTAAATATTGTATTAATAAAATGTATCTCGTTTCTCGAAAAACTAAACAACTTAAGATCCCCTTCTAAGATCCCTTTACTAAAAAAAGTCGATTTTCAGACTAGCATAGAGTGTGATAACCCAAGGTCTCTTTCGATTGGACTAAGTTTTTGTTTCGTTTACAATTTTGTAGTTACCAAGCAGTTCATTTTCATTCTTGCATCTAGGAAAATTTAAGATTTTTATTGTGAACTTATGTTAATACGACTAACGTTATTTTTTTCTTAAACTTCCTCCGAAATAGATTTTGAGCAGTACATTAGTGCTGAATCTGTGCTAGTTTGAAAACGCTTCAGTCCGTTTGTGATCTTACATTGCTCAAACTCATGATCATAACAGATAAAGATCTCTCTCTGAATGTCACTAATTTGTTTGAACTTACTGGCATTCTTTCTTTCTTCTCGCTTTTCACTACATCTTCAATATTATCGATATTGTAGAAACTGCGAAAATATTGATTCATTATATTCATTACATCATCAATTTTTTGAATTAATGCTGGCATTTTTGTAAACAACATGTCTGTTGTACAATCTAAAATTCTTTTCATGAGTAAAACAGCTTGATTTGATACCGTACCCATAATTTCACCCGTTCTAATATCGGTTAACAAATCACGAATCGTTTTTCCATTTCGAATGTCTAGTAGTTGCCTAGTATTCTTCAAATCGTTCAGTGGTTTTGACCAGGATATGAGAGTGGTCACCGATGTTTTTTGTCGAGGTGTAGTGACACCGAAAGCTGATTGTGTTCCCGATGTAGAAATTTGATAATATTCATTCTCAAAGTTTTCCACCAATTTTAAACACTCTTGTAATACCTGTGAGACGTAGCGGTAAATCTGATCATAACTTTGAGGTTCATTTATACCATCCCAAGGTTCTTTCTGACGCAATTCAACATCGTCAATCTGATCAATAGTAGTATACATCGACGTGGAAGTCTTCATTGATTATTACTTCAATTTACAATTGTATCTAAATGAAAATAAGGAAAAAACAAAATTTTTGATACTCGACACTCTGAAATTAATAATCAAAATCAAATCTGAATACAGAGTATTTTCTAATTTCATTAGTATCTATGTAGGTACGTATATCCATAGCTGTAAACGCCCTTTTATCAACATGCTTGAACTGAATGTTAGTCTATTTAGCCCTAGTCTCAAAGGAAGTTTATATCTTGAGCAGATCTTGCAAGTTTCTTTATTCAACAGACTGTTTGAAAAAGCTTATCAAGATCTTGCAGCAGATTCTAGCAGAATCTAATCTTGACTATTTTGAATGAAAACTTGATTAACGGTTTTCAAAACAAGTATCTTGACTAAACTTTATCAATATTTGCTCACGTTTTGTACAAATTTCTTGAAGTTAGTTATTCTAAATTCATTTTAAGACTAAAGAGTTTTTTAACCTCGAACAATAAGTTTTATTGCTCAACAAAACGGAAACGGGAGATGCTAAAGTTTCGCTTCCCCTTGCTCCAAGTTTCGAACCCCAACTTCCTGTTTTTCGAAACTCTGACTCTTGACATTTCTACAACTATGATATTCGAATAGAGGATCATTTCTTACCTCTAAGATTTGAAACAGCATCTGTTTATTGGTTTTCGTTCAAAAGTTATAAAATACTGTAAAACTACTGTGTAAACTCACTTTTTTTTCTTTTTTCTCAGAATCTTTATTCAAGCAGATCTGCTTTCAAAGTCTGATTAAGATTTGATCAAATAAGAATCTCGAAACTTCTGTTGGACATCTTGATCATGTAAAATTTTCGAAGATTCCTGACGGCGGTCGAGAAATTTGCTCAAGATCTTGAAAAAACTTGCGACATTTCGTCAAGATTTTCATTCAGGATTAACCTCCTAGGTAATTAAATACTATTATTAATTATTATGCCCTTTAATTCACAAATTAAAGACAAGTTATTTATTCAGTCAACTGTGAATAGAATTGTATCTCTGCTTAATAGTCGCGACTTTCCGATAAGCTCATATGTGAATAGTGAATGTGTTCAAGCAATTGGGCGAAAAATAACTTTATGTCACGCTAATTTTCTAGTCAAAACTGCAGTTAATGACAAGTAACCATATGAGTGACCATGTTAGAAGCTTGTCAGCTGTAGGAAAGATATCTGACTATTCAAACTAACAGGTGAACACACATCGAACACACAGCGGCACGGCAGATATTCGTCGTTCTTCTAACTGTAAATCTTCTATCAGTTCTGTCATAAAACAGATATATGCAGATCTAATTGAATACTTGGTTTCAAAAAGATGAACAAGACTTAACCAATATTCTTGAAAAAAACATGACTTTATTCTTCTATATGTATTTAAAACTTGGTTGTTGACAACTTACCTACAATTAGAATTTTTCAAACACAGTTGTTATGCGAAGGTCATGATGTGATTAAAGACAATTGCTAAAAAAGTTCTCTTTTTTTTATTTTTATTGATGAAAGCGAAAGAAATAATAGGTAAAACAAAAAGCATCATAATGCGCGTGACAACACGATTGACACATAGGAAAGACAGTAGATGTTAAATTAAATGAATGACATGTTATTTTAAAAATAAGAAAGATGTTGTATGTCTCTTTGTCAAAATTTAATGAAGAAAGAAGAATTGTTTTTATAAATATTTATAAGAGACGAAGAGTGCACAAACAAGATATAGAAACACTTAGGTACAATCAAATTTTATTAATGCATATTTACACTTCGAATCAACTTTGAATATCTACGTATTTGAGAGACTGAAACGTATTTCAATACTAGATTTGTTAACAAAGATTAAAGTACACTTTTTATTATATTCATGTGCACTCGAACGAACTAACGAATCTAAGAACATCATTTACCTATAGTTAATATTCCAGCGACATATAGTGATCCTGTTTTATTATCTTCAATAAATAAGTATCATTAGGTGTTTGTACTTTTCTCATAGTTTCTGAATGAAAGAATGTATAGACTGTAGGAACATCTCAGAATCTTTAGCACACTTTTCCCTTCAATCTGTGATATTCTAGATCTCTAGGCGTCTCGTTACTCAAACAATCAAAGAAAAACAAAATGCAAAAAAATCGTTACGGAATTTCACTCCGGTAGCAGAGATGGCTGCCCAGAGCGATATTCTACTTCCTAATGGATAAATTGATCTAATAATAGAACTAAAGTCTTATTATTGGTGTCCTTTGACAAAAACTAGACGTAAATGACTTAGACTGTAAAGACACTGTCGTCTTCAGTAAACGAGACTCACATTTCTCTACGTACCGACATATGTCAGTTAGAAAAGATAAACTTGATTGAATATGAAACTTCCACATGATATTTCTGCAGGTATCGGAATAATAAATATAGTGCACAAAATCATTCTTCCTTAGCGACTATAAACAGTGAGATAAGCATCATCACCGCAGTTCCTCACATACTGTTGTAGCAGAGCTTGAACAAACGACGAGCACTAAGCACTACAACTGACTAACAAACGAAACCTATGCAAGTAATACTACATTATTAATTTCTGTGTTATTTAAACGTTTGAGTGATCTTTTTTCATATTAAAGTTCAAATTGTCCATTTCTTTTTTTCCTTTTTTGAATCAATAATAAAACGATATACCAGATTGGAGAGAACGTTTATAATAGAACGCTCAAGAGTATTTCAAAGCTATCACTCTGCTCCGCAATGATCATCAGAATGAACAAGAAAGAACACTAAAATGATTGCTGATGAACTGTTGCTATCAGTAATGTGACAACATATCAAAACAATTTCGTCACTTTTATTAACCATTGTACTGAACGCCTCACATTTATCAGGTTCTAAGTATAGATCTTTTTGAAAAAACATTATCAGCTAGCATTCTGTGATAGAAAATGTATTCCAAAAATTTGTGGTTGATAATACGTAATACGATTCATGGGATATAATCAATCACTTTCATAACGTTATAAGGGCAGATCACTCCCTCGTTTTCTGAGTTTCTATGACATAATGAAGAACGTATCGGATATACTTGAAATTTGTACTGTAGCTATCTAAGATCATTGCCCAGATATCAGTCGCTTTCGTCTTTGATTTTTACCGCCACAGTTTCAAAGTTTTCAAAATCAAAAACCTTGATTCTTGGCACAGGTAAAGAAAGAAAGGTACAACGTTTCTAAAAGAATATGCGTCTGAGATTAGGTACCGTTAATAAAAACTTCAGCTCAATCGGACAAATTTTTCGGAGGATTGTAATGGTCAGCAGTGAAAAAATCTGATTTCTCAGAAAAACCGTGGAAGACTGTTTAGATACTCCTGAGCAAAAACAAATTGATTTTCGTTTTTAAAGTTCTAGCTCTAGTAAAATTTCCAAGCCTATCTGATTCTTCTTTCATCCTGTTTCAGACATCCAGAAAAAAAAGGGGCGTATGTACTCATAAAGAAGCTTCATCAAAACAGAATGGCTTGTTCAACAGAATGTTTACACAAATATTGTTTCATACAAAATAGAGCATGTACATGGTTGTAATGGTACTTCCAATCTACAGGATTGTTGCCGTATCTAAAAGTTACTGAGCGTAAACCATTCACATGAACGATTAAAATCTAACTAAACCGACAGTGTTTATTGTACGATTGCACACTATACAAAACGTCATACAAATAAAATTACTATGGTAAACAGCTATTACATCATAAATTGGCTTATCCGAGTTAAGCTTGATATGACATTTTTACATATGATCGAACTTGTAAATTGTAAACATAGACTATATTTATTTAAAGAAATTATAAAGAGGAATGATGGTGATGAAGTGTACAAAGTTTGGTAATCCAAAATATTCATATCTAGAAAACGAAACATGAACGCTTAATTTTAGAACAAAATAAACATACGATCTGTGAGAAGACGAACGAACATTAACAATCCTTAGAAGACTCATAGTTTGTGGATATCTAAAGCACCGGAAATTCAAAATTTAAGTCAAATTTATTTATGCGATATTTATTCATCGTTGGATATGTGTGTTTTAAAGTTTTGAATTAAATTTCTAAGGTCGACAATTTCAAAAAGCTCAAAATTTTAAAATTTTAAAAAACGGCCTATTTTTTAAAAACGAATGTAAATCCCGAATTCATTAAGTATGGAAATCTTGAAAGTTTTTTATTCTTATTCTACATGGAATCGGAAAATATCCTTTCGATGATATTCAAGTATGATATGATGTAAAAAATTTTAGTTTTAGCCTTAAAGTTCTTCCAAGACCTCCTAGAAAACTTTTAAACATCTTAAAAATGTGCTCATCGAATTCAGCATCAAATTTTATCTATTTCGTGTGAGTTTCATTGATAATGCTCAAAAACTCTGCATTTTATTAGAGAATGACTGGCCTGATTATGCATATGCTTAAAGAAATTGCTAAATCTCGGTGAAGAAACAATATCTAGGAAAAAGGATGCGTTGCTTTTTACATGACTATATGGCGAGTATAACGACAGAAAAATTTTGGGTTCATCTCAAATCTAAAGAGACTTGAAGCTTTTTGTTAGATAGTTGAATCGATAATTGAATGATTGAAAACTATATTTTTAGATTCAGTTTTTAACGTAGAATAAGAAAAAAAAGGTTTCGCAGTTCCAATACTCATTGGATTAAAATGTAAGCCCTTTTTTTGAAATTTTGACGGTTTTACCAAATATCCTATTTCTTTTAAATATCTAATACGTAATTGCTGCAGTTTAGTAGAAAAAAACACTCATTTATTTCTGAGAAACGGCAAAAAAGATTATATCACCCTGCATTATTCATTGGACATCGTTGCTTATGATTTGCTTCTTCCTGTGTTGGTATCTGCACGGCATTTTCTTGTTTACATACTTCTGTGACATTTTTTATATTGAGTGTTTTAAGCGTCATGTAATAGGCATCTTTTGTTGGATACGTGTTATCACCAAAATAATAGTTTTGCAAATATTGATCACATCGAAATCCACATTTCAAATACAGTGGAATAGCATCAGTATTCACCGTATTCACATGGAGACTTACTTCGTCAACGGTTCGTCTTGATTCTTTAATCATTTCATTCAACAATTGTGTTCCAAGTCCATGACGTCTATGTTCGCTCAATGTACTCACATAACATATATAATTTGTACGCGATGCTGTATTTGCCATGATGAGAGCACTTATATTTTGAAGGCTGGATGACTGAGGTGGTAGGAAAACGAACATATTTGAACAGAATAGAATAATGTTAGTGTAAGGTCGTGATGGTGTGTTGAATGAACGCTGTAAATAATCTTCAATAAGACGATTTGCGCGTGAGTATTGAACGGCCGAATAATTCGATTGTAAAGTCAATTTATATAAACGATACCCATCTTGATTTAATCCCAAGTAAACGTAATCAAGATTTGTTGTAGGATCAATTATTTTTGAATCGATTACACTAGAATGATAATTGCAATTGTTTTTAGAATGAAATCTCAGTTTAAGATATCAAATAGTTGCCTTGAAATGTCTTCTAGAATTCGTTTATTTTGTAGACAACAGTGTGATTGTTGATCGCAAGTATAAGCAGGTGGACACTTGTATTGAATACATGATATGCATAATGAGCAGTATGTATTGAAGCAGCATAAAAGGACAGTGCTCATAAACAGTAGGGACATCATCGCGGCACGCCTATTGTTTTCAATGTAACTAGAACGTATGACGACGTACTCATTCGAGAAATAAACTTTAAATGAGATTAAGCAGTTCACAGTTCGACCTATAAAAAGTCTCATGGACATCACTGGCTTCGAATTTGCAAAAAGAAATATTTCGTATGCTTAACATTAAAAAAATTTCGTTCTGTAGATCATTAATCATCATGATTTTTGATTTTGTTTTGAGTGTATACGAACAGAAAGACTAGAGAAGATACACAAAAGGTCGCATGTGTCTGTATTAATGGTAGAAGTATTATTACTCCGCATGAGACACATGATATTCCAGCCACCAATCATTTTCGCTAGTCTTACATAAAAGCAATGTCGTCTGGTGTAGAGAAAATATATTATTATTTTGCGTCTTTGAACGTATTGGCAAAATATTATTATCCTTACTCGCATATAACTCGTGAAAATGCTTGCTTTTCCTGTATGCTAACCGTTACAAAAAATGATCTCACTTGTATCTGGACAGTTGAAGTGAACATCAGTCAGTTGCACGATATAATTCAACTTCAAAATATGTTCTTTTGTGTACATTGTCCACTCACTTGAAATATTCCACCCAGATTTTTCCTCAAAAATGAAAGCCATTTAAAGACTTCGAAATACACATCATTCCACTCTGCTTTTGACGCCGATTCGTCCTATTTATGACTTGTTGTTTAACTGTATAGTGTATATTCACCTTTCCATTTATTTCGATATCATTGTTATTTATAAATAGCCTTACTGTGCTGATCGAGCGCCCGAACAGTATATTTTATGCATTTCCATAGTTATTCTGTCACTCTTTTGTCACATACTCGATAGTAAAATATTTCCCGATCGGGTCACAAGTCGTGAACACGGACTGAGTAGACTGTTTTCACTGACATCTTAAAGTTATGAATCAAATTCAGAATCTTTCCGAAAAAACACCTTTTCAGATATTTTCTGATGTGGCTCACTGATCTTTAGAAGAATTCAGTCAAATTAAACAAAATCCATTGCAGATTGTTTTTTTACCGTGGCTAGACAGAACATGATGAAGTGACCTCTGTCGATCTGTGCAAGTTCGAAGTCTCCAACTATCAAGTGGGAAGGAGACCCATTTTGTTAAGACCTCGAGGAGCGACGCTTTTTTTAATTAGTTTTAAGAATATATGGAACGTATAAGTTGTACACCACGCTGCGTCTTGTGGCAATGTTCGTTTTTATTAGAAATAACTCGTTTGAGGTATTTGTGCTCAAGAAAATATTCAGTTTTAATCCTTTTAACGTTCGTTTCCCATAGTTACCTACCCAAGCAAAAACGACCCAATTTTTTGGGTTATTTATCTAGATTCAACTCCACGTACATCTAGATGCACGTGGAACTGAATCTAGATAAATAACCCAAAAAATTGGGTCGTTTTTACTTGGGTACCTAACCATTATAATGCTTTGTTGCCTTTCTTAAAGTATCTGTAGCTTTCTTCACAAGATCCAACTAATGAGGGAACATTCCTTGGTTCAAACTAGAGATCAGTCTCATTGAAAGAGGTAACTCGATATATTCTCTAGCAGATTTGAATATAAGTGGTTTAAAAACTATATGTTTAATCGGCAACGATGGATGGGAATTAGCATTCTCTCTCGACTTCTCAAGGCGTATGAACATGGATTGGCAGAGCCTAGAAGAGATGATATTAACGTTTTAAGAAAAGACACAGCTTTTCTAATAGCAGTTTTATAAAACAAAGTTAATATGTGACGATTAGAAATTTTTCCAATGGTTCCTAACCCAGATCTCTCAAAATTTTATCACATGAACTAAACATCATCGCACCTTAGACCGCTTTAGCTGCTCGATACATGACAGCTTCTAAACGCTCAAGATTTTTCTCTGACTTATTCTCATATATAACCGGGCCATAACCGAATTGTGTCAGACATATGACTTGTGTACTAAGTCGAGTGCTTGGCGTAAAAGGATATGTGAATTTAGTTTGAATAATTCAATATCATTAACTCTATGTAAAACAGGTTCACGTCCAGCCAAGTTTGATTTCACATTTTCAGTGATATCGTGAATAAAAATTAAAAACAACAATAGTTTCAGAGCCAATCTGTAAGGCATACCCCTGTTTATATTCGTGGCTGATGATCTTTTAACTTCCACTGTTCTCACAATTTCATGACCAGCTAAATTACTTTTAAACCAATTTATAAGAGAAGGAGATATCCCCATTGCCTTTAGCTTCATTAATAAAGCCGTATGCCAAACAGTGTTAAATGTCTTACGAAAGTCTAAAAAGACAACTAGGACTGGCTTGTTGTTATCAAAAGCCATGAGTATTACACATATGCCAGATATTAGTTGGTTTATGGTAGAGTCTCCACACTTAAAACTCGACTAACCTTTACTTAAAAGACCATATGTTACCAAATAAGCTTATACTTTACGGTGGATAATTCTCTCAAAACACTTTGACAGCATAGGTAACAATGATATAGGCCTATAATTTAGTCATCACCCCGACTTAAAAATTAATGGGATATAATATCCAAGTTTCTACGCTTTAGAAAAATATTCTTGTTCCAGTAAGATGTTAAATAACCTTGTTAAAATGGTATTATTACTGCTGCAGCTTCGTTACCAAATCGTGACGATATCCCAAGAACACGAGCTTACTGCAATGCGGCTGATGATGCAGCTTTGTTTCATTCGAGTAAATCTGTTTTTTATATCAAATGCTCATCGTATGAGCACCAAAGAAAAGATAACTAACGCGAGTTCAGGAATTATGATCAGCTCTCCATTTTACTTGAAATTAAATGTACGATCCGCTCGTTCGATTCTGTGACCTAGGATCCTTTAAAATTCGACTTACCGGGCAAAATAGACCAGATAGTCTTCTGTTATGGGGCGGGAGGCTTACACGTAATAAATATCGATCATCAGTGAATATTTTGGCCAATCCTCAAGCAAAAACAGTCAATCTTTTATGTCAATTGGAACAAACAGACATTAAAATTACATTAGGTAATATAGCCAAAGCGTTGCCATTACAATGGAAAAATAAAAATTAGTAATGAACGTCTGATTATCGTTGAAAAAAAAATTAAATTAATTAAAGATTGTGCCCTAGCATCCTTAGTATTAACTTTGACCAATATCAGTGATATTTTTATACAGAATTTAGAGAGAAAAGCAAAAATAATAATAAAAAAATATCAGAATTAAACCACTTAAAGATTATATATTAAATTCCGATTCATGGTGATACTATTAGTTAAGTTAGTAACACTTTGTTTCAACAGTAACAATAATTCAGAGATAATTCTTTTGTACGAGTGGATTATCAACAATTATATTTCTGAAATCATTAGTTATTTCAACGGTTCGTACTACAGCTTTAAATTTTGCTCTTAGCAATTTCTTATATTTGACATCTTCTAACTTCATTTGTCGATGAATTTTAAATGGAACAATAAAAAGCCAGATAATCATAATAATATGGAGCAAAACATAGATGGAAAATAAACCAATGAGAACGTAACGATCGATAAGAACATAATAATCGTCTGGTTGAACATTTGTATAATGTTGATTTAGAAATGTTAATGAGCCTACAATCGAATGCCATATACATAGCAAGATTAATATTGCTATTGAAATAATAGCATATTTGTCCAACGATGTTAAATAAGATATGGTAGGCTAAAAAAAGTGAATTCTCTTTGAATATGATTTTGAAAACATCAATGGCAAAATTAAATTTTATTAATTATTTATTTGCTTTTTACTTACTAATGATCGATTTACAACCCAGCGAAATGTGACAGATGTCAACAACAATGTGCAACCAATTTGTAAGCGATTTTGGGGTAAACTAAAGTGGAAAATAAAAATCATTAGAGTTCTAATTAATTTGAGGGAACCGTTTTCTGTGCAATGTAGTGCGAAAAAATGAGCCTACTTTGGTGGTATTGAAAATGTGCAAAATGAGGAAGCTGTAATAAGAAATATAAGAAAATAGCCATTCCAATAGTAGTAGGCGGAGCGACGAGCTGAAAATAGATCAAACAATATTCCACAACTAACAATGTTAATTAAAGAATATTAAAAAAGGTAGCAATGTGTCAAATTATATCTCTGGCTTATTCACCAATGTTTTTTCATTGATCATATTCTGATACGCCTAAGGTATTTGAGTAGAGTGGTCTATATTATTATAAGGTGATATACGTAACCGTACAAATTTTTCAAACATTCTTTTGGTTTAAGCATTTATTAGAGATCAATCGCCTGGGCATTATAGATCTCGATTCCCAATATAGTGAATACAAAGAGCGAACAAGAGAGAATGATAAAAAAGATATAAAAGTTACACAAAGAGGAAAAAAAAATGGATATGGTAAAAGAGAGAAGTGACAAATATGGTATGTGTGTGTGAAGGAGGCTAAAAAAACAAATATAATCAAAATTGTATCTAAATGAACATTCCACAAGTGCAGTGACTATATGTATAAGCATACTATGAATGACAGCTACGACATCAAGTATGATCAAATCTTGATAGTATGATCATTCTTTTACTAACCTGCATGGCATGTTGCAGAGAATATTGATCGTCTTTTCTCTTCTTTATTATCGTTTTCATCTCTAAACGGATATTCTACGGTAAATCTTGTTTGCGCTCCAACATGTTCATAGAGCAGCCATTCTTGTTGATCAACGAATGCTTCACGATTGATACACGACAAATGATGCTCATCTTTTTGTAATAAAACTTTGTCGTCATAATAGGACGAGGCCACAGAAACAGTTAATTCCTGAACATCAGATGGGAAGTGATGCAATTCCAACTTTTCCCAAAACGTTCCTTTCACATCACGACGTTCACATATCTCAACATTTTGATAGTCTCGTTGGTTATTATTCTTCTTTAACGTATAACGTATTACTTCTTTTAATTCACCAACTGCATTTTCAACAAAAAGCTCGGGAGTCCAATTTGCTTCACCATATTTCAATACTGTGACAGAATTTCCTTCATTTAGTTGACGATACTGATCCGCTGTTAATGTCAACTTTCCTATATCAGACGACCATCGTGCTTCAATATACACTTGTGCCTGGTATTTTTCGTTCAGTGTATCAATTTCACCTTAACAATTTTATGTATTAGACTAATTTTTTCTATGTATTTATCAAATATTTCACATAATGATCAACAATGATAAGTCAGATCCTAATGGAAAATTTTGTCTTATACATGAAATGTTCGGGTCCTTGTGAGATCAGCGCACTTATTCCAAATAATCCGATATGTGATGTTTATAGAATAGACTCCCGTCTTTCAGAATGCGCTCTTCAGAATGTCTGTAAGTGCTCGGTGTATTATAGAGTATTTTTGTTTTTTAACCTGTTTAGACGACGTACAAAGTCAAAATACTTATTCAGTTAGCTAGATACAACTACTAATAAAATTCTAGTGTTTTTCGATTGAATCGGAGTACCCGGACAGCGGGACACTGCAGTAGAATTCATTTTTCGTAAAAATGTGCCGAAGAGTTGTATCTAGCTAGCTGGATAAGTATTTTAACTTTGTACGTCGTCTAAACATCACATATCGGATTATTTGGAATAAGCGCACTGATCTCACAAGGACCCGAATATTTCATGTGTATAGAGTGAACCTGTAATTTTGCACACTACTGTATACGTCATGTAGAAAAAGAAATTTAAAGAAACTACTATTCAATATTTTATACACATTTAATACTTAACTCCATTCTTATTATGTCACTAATTCTCTCTTCTATTGCTAATTTTTGCAGCTCCACTTACCTATCCTTGAAAACATTAATCGGATTCCAACGGGAACAACCGTTGATTGAGCACTAACGTCCGCATTAGTCATACGAATCACTTTATGGATTTCTTAATAAACATAATAAAGCAAGATTATTTTTATTTAAACATCGGAAGAATAACTGAGAAGACTGTATATGCTTAGAAATTATATAGTGGCGTAGGTGATGATTTTATTATCGATAATATATATATTAGATATTTTTGTACCATTTTCTCCTTTTATAAAGAATAGAGTATAGGTATTTTCGATTTGAAACTCTTTCAAAATAAATTTTGTGGAACGTTTTGTTGTTACCTTTAAATACATGTCGTTAAGTGATGAATGTATGATTGTTCTTTCGTAAAGCAAATGCAATACAAATTTTGTCTGCTATTGAATGTATTCAATAGAAAAGAAGCTTTTTCGGATGAAAGAAACAGAAAAAATGCACTTTTGTGGTATATTGTATGCTACTACCTATCGAAAATAGCCGGTAAAGTTGAAATTTTCTATAGTCTACTACGCATCATCAGCAAAAAAAAGGCAAGTACCGGCTTCATTACGCACACCAAGTACTTAGTCCAAGTACTTGATCTCAAGTACGTCCTCTAGGATTGTAGCTAAACAGAATTTATTGCAAAACAATTAGTACAAAGGATCCTGTACATTAAGGTTTGAAATTTGTCCACCAGTAAATTTGATATGTTGATCTTATCACTTTATAGTTTACACCTAGTCACATATTACGAGAGATCATTTTTTCAGAATAGATTCTTATTTATTGGCAAACTCCTTTACGACCATGTAACAAGAACATATATGGACACTCTATAACAATGAAAAATTTTGAAATTATGATTTCATATTTAAATTTAGTATCCTCGACTCTCTATTCCTATGTAATCAGCGTTTTATCAGAACTCTTAATGTTCGAATAATAATCAGAACTATGGTGCAAAGTATAGATACGAGGAATGTACATGAAAAATTGGCACACTGGATTTTATTTTGACAGGAACATGAGAAACAAATTTTCTATCCAAAGTACGACTTGATACCTAAACATTCTCAAATGACACTATATCCGCACATAAGGTTCTTTTGAACGCTCCTGGAATCATGCTTACTAGATCATTCAATTACAGAAATAAAGTCTGTAATCAAGATATAAGGGGCCCCCTCCGCTCAGAAATAATAATTCTCAATCAAAGAAATCGATTTTGAGATAAGCACATGAAAAGATACCCTGAATTGTCTACTTTCAGAAACTGTAACGCTTTCGGTTATAGAAGTGATTTTTCTCGGCTTTCTAGAAGTCTCGAAAAATGGATCTTCAAAAAATAGTTTTTTCCTAGATACTTATGAAATTAGATTTTTTCTGCACGCGAAGATCTATTGAGTAAGCTTCTCTGATCAAAATAAGGCCCCGTGCAACTGTATGACTTCGCATCAAAAATCTACAAGCATTTTCAAGTCCTAAAATCCAGCATTTTATACAGCGTTAATGACATGTATTTAAAGGTAACAACAAAACGTTCCACAAAATTTATTTTGAAAGAGTTTCAAATCGAAAATACCTATACTCTATTCTTTATAAAAGGAGAAAATGGTACA